CAAGCTTGCATGCGTGACTCATCCATGAGCATCGTTATATGCATCAGTCATGCAGACCGCTGCCAGCGAGCATATATGCCCTGCTATAGCGCGAGTCAATGCAGCAGGCAGTCGCAGCTGACGCCAAGGTATATCTGCACTTAGCTAAATTTGCTAAGTAGCACTTGGCTCAGTTTGCTAAGTAGCAACTTGTAAGTGACTTACCTATCTTCTCAAAACAGACAGAGCTAAACGTTATAACCCTTGCAAAGTACATAGTATCCTCGACAACTACTTCATAACCCACCCGCCCGGCCAAGTAGGGGTCTTTCCATCACCTGTAGATGGAGATGCCAACTGGCTCAGGACAGTCTGGATGCCACTGAATTCCCAAGACCCTTCATCCTCCAGAAACAGAATCTCTCAGAACTCCGAAGCCAAAACTGCCGCGAAGGAGGGCGTGCGTGATCCAAGGTGTCGCACGCGGAGAGAGGGCCTGCCCATGGGCAGCGATCATTCTGGGTCTCCGGGCCCATCCGGAGGTCCAGGGCTGAGGGCGCATGAAGCTGGAGTTCCCGAAGCCGCTGCAGCTGGGGAGGTTGACTGCGACTGAGGGTGTGGAAGTTTGCGAAGTCCTCGGCACCTGCGCGCAGCTGGTCGCAGCATCCAGCCAAGGCTACACTTGACTTGAATCCACGGTGCTGCGCTGACATCTGAGCCGGTGGCTTCGCAGCTCGAGGCTGAGCGTGCCCTCCGTCTCAAGCTCCTCCAAGCTCTTGGCCTCTTCGTCCGGCATCCAGCACTGCCAATTAAAATGCTCAAACCTGACCTGTGCTAATAATCATCTCCACACCGTTTTTGCTACGCTGTGTCGCATAAGTTTCTGCTGCAGGCCTGCGCGGCTCGCTGAAGGAACTCCACAAGCTCATGAGACACAGCACATGTGACCTGCATCCAATTCTGCACAGCGGAATCGGAAGGCATGGTTTTTCCCTTCACATCGTTGCTTGCTTCTGACTGTGTGTTGAGGGCCCAAAATTGCTTCACAAAATCTCCGGGTTTAGCACCCCCTGTTAAGCTGTGCAGGCAACGCAGGCGCAGGCAGCCAACCTGCTTGGCTGCGATCGCAGACGCCATCGCCAGCGCAGACTTCGGAATATGGTTCTCGGTGACATCCAGCTTCTCGAGCATCCGGTTCGTCCGCAGTGCCTACAGCTGCGAAGGATCCCAATCAACACCACGAATGCTTGATCTTGCAAGGAAGCAGCATACGCCGCAGTATTCCACTCCACCGAGGCCCCCGCCTCTACGAGGAGGAGACCTCCTTGGTCCTTGAGGTGGCAGCCGCGCAGGCTCAGACGCTTCAGGGTCTGATTCTCGTGGAGCACCTGCACGAAACAGAAAAGCTTCAACTCCCTCAGATGGCGAGCAACAGGCAAAGCTCGAGCTCCCCATACTGTGTCGGGACACTCAAGAACGTCAACCTCGCTGGAGCTTCCTACACGCTACGTCTCCATCCCCTCCGCATGACCGGTGCCCCGCGGCTGGTTCCATTTCGTCTTCAGCCTCTTCCAGCTAGAAAAGGCACGCCTCAACTAAGTCCTCTACTAGGTTAATAGGAGTTACAGTACTAGGATAGACGTGCTCTTTCCACTTTGGGCAGGGGACCGGTGGGGCAGAAGCACCACTGTCAAGCAAAGACAAGGCAATTGCATCTATGGCAACGTCCCTGACTTTGAGGAGCCTCGGCTACCTGGCTCACGACATCGTCGGTGATCACCACTTGGTCCAACTGCAGCTCTGTCAGCTTCTTCTGCAACACAACCTGCAACGCAAAGTGTTCTCAGATTTAGTCTTGGTTGCGTAATGTACATAGTCGCCCGCTACAATCTGCAGTGCTTCGTTGCCCTGCCCTGCGCCTGACGAAACAAAGGGACATCTGCCGCCGCGAGCTCGCTGCGCATGATGACCAGCTTCCTGAGACAGGTTTCCGTCGGAATTGTTAAAGCTGAGACTGCAGAACTGCTGGCGGAATGTGTCGCTGTGCATGCCGGGGCTCTCCAGCATCGGATATTCGCTGAGAGCTTCAAGGCCGACTCCCAGCGCTGCCGCGCTAAGGTGAGAGAGGCTGAGCGTTTCGCAGCTCGAGGCCTTCTCTTTGAAGACTCGCTCCTGCAGTTTAATTACCTCTTCTGCATCGCTGCGATGCGTGAACTTGAGGCTGTCAGCGACTGTGGTTCGGAATGTCTCCGGGCTCATGGGAGCCACTCCGGCCGCATCGTCCTCCGAGCTGTCCACTTCTCGCGAGAGGTGCGAGGCGCTTCGTGTGCTGGACCACTGCATCTCAGCATAACACCACCCGCGCTTGCAGTAGGGAGTGCGGTTCTCCACTAAGTCCCTTAGCAAAACATGCCTCACAAAACCACTGGATGCGTGGTATATTTCGATTGACTTGCTCTTGAGCTTCGCGTCCTTTACCCGGTCTTCCGGCGTCAGCCTCTCGATGCGCAACGTGCGCGTGTGCTCGTGCGAATAAAGCACGTGCATGTTGCACATTGCTTTTCGGAAGCTTGACTCCTCGCTGCGGCGCAGCCTCTTGAACTGGTACAGCGAGATGTAATCGATAAAGACGCAGTCGCCATCCTCAAGAGCTCCTGCGAGTTTCTCGAGCTGGTACCCGTAAGGGTCGGCGTGCTCCCGGGCCTCCCAGCAGTGCGATAATGAAACGATGCGGCCGATCTCGGTCGGACGGCCTTCGGCCCAGTCGCGCAGCTCTTCGTGTGTGACCAACGCCGTGCGGCTGCCGACATAAGCCGCCTCCGCTTCCTGGCGGCGCGGGAAACGAAGCCCGCTCCGGTGGAGCTTCTTCAGGAACTCCGCACGTACCTGCAAACAAAGGCTCAGGCAAAAAAGCACACCTACTCCGTACAACCAGCCCAGTGCAGTCAGGGTCACTAGGCGAATGTCTGCATCAATGAGAAAATCTGCGAGCCGCGACTTGTCGCCCAGGTCGTAGTGCTCGGAGCTCGGTGCCTGCAACGCGTGGAGGCCATCTTGCACGATACTCCGGTACATAGCATGGAAGCGGCTCTGGGGATACCCCGAGCCTTCTGGGTCTCCGGGTGCTGGAGGCAGCGCACCAGCGCACGGCAGCTCAGCAGTCCCTGGCCTGAGCAAGCGTTCAAAAGCCAAGAAGATCTGAGAGCGACCCGGGGCTTGAAAGCGGGGAAATGAACGACGGAGGGCTACGGAACCCTTTCTTGAGATCTCCAGGGCGCAGGAATCAGGATTGCTTGAGATGTGAGAGGTTTTGGGTAAGGCGTTGGGGATATGGCATCTCAAGACTCAAGAGCTTACATACGACTCGGGTCGCCGGCCTGTAAACAACAGAAGCTTCCCAATTTGGTGGACACCTGGAAGACTATCCTACAAGATCACACGAACATTTACCAGGCCGAGCATGCCGAGCTAAGAAGTGGTGTTTGAGAACATGCTCGAGAAGCAAGAAAGGGTTGAGGCAACGATGGGGAAACTGTAAGGTGCATTTCAATCGCCAGCAGTAACTTGAAGAAGTAAGCACATCGAGTTACCTGCAGCACAACAAGCTCCAACTCGCCGGGCGCCCAGCTGTCTGCAGGAACTTCTTTCGAGATGCCCTGGCAAGGAGCAAAAGCTCTGCGGCAGCCCCTTGCAAGTGCCAGGAGACGAGAGTCACGGCAGACTCGAGCCTCCGCCTCCGCTTCGGTGAGAGGGCTGCCTCGCTTGGAACTGTGTTATGAGGAACTACCAACCCTTCCCACCGGTGACTGGTGACCTCTCCAATGCTCCTACGGTGACTCAAGAATGTGACTGAAACTGGGTGGCGTCAGTCTCTGACTGAATTGAAGGATGGTCACGCAGGCAGAGATGCTGCTGCTGAAGCTGCTTGATGTACCAACCCCGTGATGCTGGGAATCGAAATACAAGTAAACATTTACAAAACGAATAACCATAATAGCCAGACTGAGAGTAGCAGTAATCGTAATAACGACGTCATGCCATGTGTGGTTTCCATTTGGCAGCTGTAGGCGTGCCTCGAAAGCCGTCTACAATGCTTCTGACCGTGTCGAGTGAGATTCTCTCGTGCTGAACCTGGCAGGTCACAAGCAAGCTCAGCACTGCAAGCTCTCCCCAGAGCCAGCGGGGCTTACAGTCACAAACAGCATTGGAAGCTTTGGGAAACCTTCTTCGCAGCTGAGCTGGGCAGTCGGCCAAGCAAAATGAGCTAGACAAGACACGTCCACCCCAACAACCTCCAGCAACCTCAACATGCTGTTCGCATCTAGCCCTCAACCACAACACTGGTGCAAGGCGACTGGCACACAGGGCTCCGCAGCCTGCACGCTGCTTGGAAGGCTTGGCTGGAGTTGCTGTTTAGGGTTGGAGGAGATTTAGTTTTAGCAAATTGAAGTTTCAAGCTAATGTCGCTTAAGGAGTTGCACATTCGAAGGTGGTAAGCCTTTACAAAACAACTTCCATTGGGATTTAGCTCTCGGCCAAAAGCAGCAGCTTTAACACCTACATCGACTGCCCCCAAGACCCCACCCCTGACGACAAGGCGCACATGGGTTTTGATCCGGACCTTCTGGAATGGTCCTTTTGATCCACTGGAATTCATATGAATGTGGCAATAGCAGAGCTCGCGGATCAATGTTTGTGGTCTGGAATAGGTATGGGACAGGTTACAATTTGCCTTGAACGATATGCATATGGGGTATGGAACGAAGGTGCCTGGACTAATTCCAGACCAGATCTAAAGATAAGCTCCCGAACATTTCCAAAATAATAAACCATTTTCCATAGAGGACGCACGTATTCGCGGAGGGGAGGGAAGCTTTCGAGCATCAGAGAAGTGGACAACAAATTGTGTCAGCTGAAAATGGCAAGCACTGGGCTCCCAGCGACGCTGTGGGCCATCGCTTGCAAAGCCGCCAAGTTGGCCCGCAGAACTGTAAGCTCCTCGTCGGAGTGGCGGACGATGCCAAAGACTTGACAAACATCATTGTTGTTATTAAACTGCCCCGCAGCCTAGCTAGGGTCTAAATGTTGTTGGGGCTCCAAATCTCCCGGGCTTGCTTACGACGTCTCCTGGTTCAGAACTTCGTTGCGGCGGCGGAGGGACATGGGGCGCTCTGGGTTCGTAGCCGTGCCCGCGCCCGCGCGCTGCTGCAGCCAGCTCACCATGAAGTTCACCGGCGACTGAGCAAATTACTATGAGAGAGCTTCCGGCTTCAGAAGCTGTACACGGAGCTGCAATCTTCCACTGCACAGGCAGTGTGGGCTGACATGTTATCCCCCTCCGTCCGACCTGGCCTCCGGCATCTCCTGCAGAACTTCGAAGATCATGGCCTCTGCCAGGGGCTCCACCATCTCCGCAGCATACCGGCTGGCCTGACACGCGAGTCGTGCCACAAAAACAACGCATGATTGCACGAACTGTTGCCAAAATCCTGTGAAGCCAAACCGAAACAGGGTTCCTACTCCTGCCAAAATGAAGTTTAGCCGCAACGCACTGGCCTCTCGAGCCGCTGGAGGAAGCAAGCAGGCAATACGGTGTGGAAAAACAAGAAATGAGCGGGGTTTTGGGAGGGGGCAAAAGAAATCATTAGAATGCTCAGGATAATTACAGTACCACCATCACTTCAAATTTATATGGCAAGCATCACCGACAAACTATTTGAATTCTGAGCTCGCACGCAGCCCTACAGTACACATAGGACATTGGAACAGGCGCCCCAACACCACAGCACCTTCCATGACACGGTCTAGACAGCTCGAACTGCTGCATGTAAACATGCTGCAAAGCATGGAAGGTATCTCTAAAGAACCGCCCTCATGGAGCGGCCCCAATGTTGAAAAAACTATCCACATGATGGGAGTCCATGGCTCATTTCCTTGGCAACCATCTTCCTTCTGAGCACTCCCGTGATCTCCCGTGGCCACCCGTCTGGCTGTGAGAATGCCAATGACAGCAACGAAAGTGAAGAGGGCCGTAGGTCCAAGCAGAAGGTTTCTCTTCTTCCCGCTCCCCGACGTGAAAAAAGCGAACGTTGCGAAGCATCCAGTCTTTGGACCATGACCTGTCTGAACCCTGTCCAATCAGCTCAAGAAGCCAAACCTCGGCTGGATCCGACAAGCCGCCTCCCTGATCCACTTTAAATTAAACCCAAATAAGTTGAACTAAGCTCCCGCCCAGCTGCTTCCAACCTACAAGAAACTGCACGAAGTCCCGCCTCCGGGCCCTGCGAAGCAGGCTCCATGTCAGGGCTTTCGCAGAAGAACCCAACACAGGCCCAGGCGAAGGCAACGAGTTCTGAAGCTAAGGAGCCCCCAAGTTGCTGGTAATCGTGAATTCTTCGTATCAGTGCAGCTTCCATTTCCTTGCTTTCAGGGCTTGTGCTGAGGCAATCCTCCAAGGTTTTGTTAAGGACCCTCCAAACGAACAGCCTACCCCGTCGCTGTCTAGTCCAAGAGATCCTTCATATCTTCTCTCTGCGCATCTCCGCGTTGTTGACTCTCTCTCTCTCTCTCTTTGCGACTTGAGATGCTTGTGCAAAAATCGCTGCTGTGCCCGCATGATGGGACCCCCCTTGGCGATCGCTTGGGAGCCTCAATGCTGCAGAGTAGAGCCCAGCCCGGTAGATTTTGCTGCATAAGATGACCAGGCATCAAACCCTGCTTCAAAAAGCAACCTAGCGCTTGCCCGTTACAGGTATGGCTGAGCGATGTCTGCCGGGAAAGTGGGAAAATTGAAATAGGTACTGCTTTCCAGCTATCTACGCATATTCAACAAGGACGGTTTATGGCTCATGGGGCAACACTCAAGCTTTGTGTTCTTCAAGCACAGATCCTAAGCACGGAGGATGCAACTGGATGCAGCCCCACGCGTGAAAGCCGCCCTGCCTTCATCCTAAAGAAAGACTGCCCAATAGTATGGGGATTTGTCAGAAAGAGGGCCCTGAGGAACTCTAGGGATACATGGGGATTATATGAGTGCCGAAGTAAATCTCCTGCATAGCACAGAGGCCATGGGAAAAAGGGTTGGCCCCTATCTTTGATGCAGGCTTTAGCTGTATCGGTTGAGGGTTGCCCCCTATCGTATCGGTTGTCGCAAAACATGTACTATTTGTGAATTTTATGACCAGCCTAGACATGTTGGCTCTTCCATAGATTCAGTCTGACACTCATATGGAGATTAGCCGGGGCCCCTATTTGGGATATTGTAGGGATGTTATTGAGAGATGTCCCATATCAAAGAGCTTTAGGGATCCCTTGTAGAATGAATCCTCAAACAAGGAATGAATGTCCTTTGGGGAAGCTCGCTGTCTCCAAACTTCCATCTGAGGTATGTGGTGGAGACGTGGTGATGAAGGCAAGACGTTAGGCTAGAGTTCCCTTTGAGCGAGCCTCCAGGGTACAGGGACTCATGGTATCAAGGCGTTCACTTCTTGCTGTGCTTTCACAGAAACGCTCGAAGCCCACATGAGGAACACATTTGGTACCCTAAACCCTAAACCCTAAACCCCAAACCTCTAAACCCTAAACCTCTAAACCTCTAAACCCTAAACCTCTAAACCTCTAAACCCCTAAACCCTAAACCCTCGAAGCCAACATGAGCGACCCATTTGGTGGACCTTGGGAATCCTCAGCATGCACTCAAATCCTTCTGGGCTCCAAGGTTTTGCCATCCTAGGCTCCTTTACTGGGTTGCTGTTAAGGAACTTAAATTAAGGGATTATCCCCCTATAATGGAGAATCAAATGGAAAAGAAAATGGAAAATGAAATGGAAACTGGGGAATATAGGGATTAAGGAACTTAAATCAAGTTACCAGAATGGGTTTAGGGTTTAGGGTTTAATGTTAAGGAACTTAAAGTAAGTTACCAGAATGGGTATGTATAGGGATAATGGAAAAGAAGATGGAAACTACTATAGGGTTTGATGGGTATATATAGTAATGTTAAGGAACTTAAATGAAGTCACCATAATGGGTGTATATATAATATATAGTAATTAATTTGGTTGTCCTAATATGGTCACTTAGTTTAAGCTCCTTAAGAGCAACCCAATTTTAACATGGAATGGAAAACAAATGCCTGCGCCCATGCTCCCACATAGGGTCCACCGGTTT